ATTTTCGGTTTAAGATTTTCTTCTCTTTTTCTTTATTAAAAAAAGGAAAACTTAAAAACTAGATGTTAACTTAAAATAAGATTTTAATATTATGAACAAATTTCGAAAGAAAAGGTTACAAGTCAATTTGTATAACCTAGAAACAATATACTATATTCAATTCACGAACATTGTCAATAATATTAATTATTGACATTGTTGAGTAAACGAATTTTCTTTCTGTCATACTTTCAGCGCGTATATTTTTAGAATACAGAAGTTGGAGGTGATGTAATTTGAAAAACTGATTTCATCAACAACTGTGGCGTACAATTTAAACAGTTGTGAAATACGCAGAGAAAACTAACCGCAGTCGTTTTACATATTTTTATCTGCTACTCTCGTTTTACTAGTTATAACTCGGAGCCTAACAGCTGTAGTTCGAAGATTACACTAAAAGAATAGTAACGGACTTCGAGACCGTTACAGGGGGTTACTCAAATATGTTCCCTCGTGAATAAGAATGTGTCATTTAAAAAATTTTAATCAAACAATACATCATTCGAATCAGCTTTTCAAGCGCTGCAAAACTGTATATTTGCTTTTCAAAAGAATAGCTCATAATGAATCTTATAAGGAGTTCTTTTAAGACCTTTTTCAAAAAGGTTTTTAAAATGTTTCTAGAAACCCTTCTTCAAAAACCAAAGTATTCTCAATTGAGTTTGTTGAAGTCAATGATATAGTGATATAATGCTGTTTTCTACGATAAGAGGGGACGAATCTAACCTGTTTTTTCATCATTTTGTTGCCCATGTTGACTTACATAAATGGTGAGACTTCTGTGCCATCCAGACGCGTTCTTTCCATTTTTTTTAACTTTTAAAAGTTTAAAGATAGATTTCAGAATCTTTTTTAACGAGGTTGCTCTGCATTGAAGAAACATGCTCTAATGATAACAGTGACTCCGATCGATCGAGGACATCGGACTGTCTATCTGCTGAAGTTTTGGCGAGTTTTTCAACGAAGTTTAATTAATAAAACTTTTGTTTTTTCTTGAAATGTCGTTTTTTAAAAACCTTGCCATAGATAGTGGCTACGTAACACAATGGAAAAAACTTTTTGCTGACAAAACTCGTCCTTAGGTGTCAAATGGGGTACTGAGTGTAGTACTTTTTTCAGTTAACAGAAAAATTTTAAGGAAGATCAAATTTGAGAATTCAAAATTATTAAAAGACTTAAAACTCAATTTTCCTCAAAACTTTTCCGTTAACTGAAAAAAGTACTACACTTAGTACCCCATTTGATACCTAAGGACGAGTTTTGTCAGCAAAAAGCTTTTTTCACTATGTTACGTAGCCACTATCTATGGCAAGGTTTTGGCATGTTGAATTCACAAGGAATAAAATTTTATGGAAGTGTTTAACTTTTTGATTGTTCTATGTCATAAATGAGTAAAGTTGCGAATGATCGTAGTTTAAGAATTTTTTAAAGACAGTTGTGATTAACAAGAGATTAAAATGGAAAAATAAGAGGATATGTGCAAATTAATTGAAAATTTTCTCTAACACGTGTAGAGAAAGAGAGATATTTTATTATTATTTTTTGTTGTATTAATGTATTGGTCGTATTTTAGATAGATATAGTAGTGTCTAGACATTGGCAAGCAAGATAAAGAACGCTAAGATATTGGTAGAATATAGATATCAAGATTGTATAAACAGAAGAGTAATTGTTGACTTAAAACACAAATCTCGATTGATCTCTGAAACTCTGACAGCTGACTTTTCCAGTATTACTCCACAGACCACAGCATTGACTACAATAGCAAACAACAAAAACTCTGAATTAATCGTTACAAAATCTGTAAGATATGGCTTCTATTTACCTACCTATGTGATGACAAACAAAAATTCATTTAAATTTCTATAGTTCCTGGCGATAACTGTTCACTAGGACCCGTCAGCGGTGCTGAACTCAGATCAGAATCCGTTTCCATCATCATTAAAATCATCCTGAAACAGTTAAATCTGTACAAACTTTAATCTGTCGGCACCGACCAAACTTACTTCTGCATCTTGATCCTCTGCTGGATCATCCTTTTTTCTCTGCGATCCATCGAGTAAACCATCAAATTCATCACTACTTCTCCACTTGTTGTACTTACAGCGACATTTGTTGCATATAAAGCCACTATATGGCATTGGATTTAAAGTTCGCGCAAAAACGAATAAATGCAACAATATGCCAGTAAACGGACGTCTGGAAAACTCATTAATATGCTCCTCACGACAGGCACTGTAGGCATTCTCTGAATTAGTAATTTAAATCAGTACAATTACTCTTCTATTTATGCAGTCTTGATGTCTATATTCTACTAAAATCTCAGTGTTCTTTATCTTGTTCGCTAAACAACTACTATATCTATCTACAACACGACTGATACACTAATAGAACAATAAAATACTAATAAAACATCTCCCTTTCTCTACACGTGTTAACTACAACACAATAATTCGCTACAGAAGCACAGTGTTTCGACAATTGTCCTATATGGGCATATTTTTGCAAAGCTCGTTTATAGCTTATTTTGAAGCCCAGAAAATTCTCTATCTTTTTCTATGTATGAGCTTTGCTCAGGGACTTTGAAATTTGACGAAAAATTTGTGGAAAAAGGTAAATGGCGTTTGTTGAACTGATGACGAAAAATGAAAAGAAATGTTTTTTTAAAGACACCAGAACGAATTTTTGAACGTGGGAAGTCAAAAGGGAAGCATTTCCGATGATTTTCACTCAAAATCATATTGGACCATTTTCTAGCAGAAACTGTTTCCCATCCTTTTAAGCATCTTGATAGAATGTGATGAAGACTAATACGTTTTAGTCTTAAATCTAATTTCTTTTCAATCATAAAACTTTTCACAACAGCCATTTTTTTAATTTCATGATGAGAAAGTCTGTGTGATAACGATGCAACAATAGAATACAGAAAATATTCTTAACGTTTAAAGGAAAACAACAAAGAAAACACACTAATGAAGATAACACTATATGCAAATTTTTGTGCTATCGTGTGTTTTCAAGTTATTATTACTGTTTGTTATTATAACGTAGACCAAATCCTTCACTAATTGAGCGAGTGAGCTAAGAAGAATGAGATGACAATTAGTAATCAAAAACTTATTGTTGATTTGTATCGAAAAGCTTACTTCTTCAAATTTGATAATTTGTTTTACTAAATAATCGCTATAACGTCGAGTCACTTTTGTATCAGCAATATGAATAATTTCCTAGAAACAAATTTGAATAGTAGATCTACAAACATAATATCGAACAATATCGCAGAAATCTCTAATAAACAATATCGATATTCATCATTTCCTTTGTTCTTTCAGATCAAATTTGAGAAACAATGTAATATTAAGGATGTATAGACAATATAAAGAAGTTCAAAGAAACCTTTTATTCATTTAAATACCTTATCAACGTAAAAATCAATATCAGCAGAGGATTGAAAATCTTCATCTTTCTTCTGAGACAAATCAGTTCCACTTAATTTATGCTAAAGAAAATAAAAAAGCTTTTTTCGTATGCGTTAACGCAAATCAATATCAATTGCAACAAACTTTAAATGTTAATAATATCGTTTTAACTTCTTGTGGAGTCTAAAACAAAAAACAAAGTAAAATCGAACACTACTGTCTTGTTTTCCAAGACCTTCTCCATAAATATTGCTAATTTGTCGATATTCAATGTTGTATATAATTTTAAATAACTGAAAGGAGAAAAAATAAATAATAAGTTAGAACTAGACCATAAGTGGATAAAACACACCTCCGAACATCTGGAATATATATTTGCTCCTGTACTTCTTCCATAAACACCTCGATTTGTTTATTGAAGGGTTCCTAACAATACAGAGATGAGCATGAAAATCATATGGAAATAGTCTGTCATCTAATTCGAAATCAGCGAAAAACTTACTGCCCATTGGTGATCCGTTCGTTGATCATAAATTGTAGGAGATGGTGAAATAAATTTTGGACAAGCGAAACCAAAATGATCACGAAATTGTATTTTACCATCAGTCCTACAAAAACATTTAGACATTTATTAAAACTTTTTATGGGATTTTTTTATTAGAAGGATATAATTGTTTTTCAATTAAAATAAGTTGCATTCTGATAAATACCCAGTAGTTAATAATGGCTTATTTAATTTATCTTGAAATTTTTCACGTAATATTTGATAAAGGGTTTCATCTATTCTTACTGGACATAATGTTAAACAGATCGATAACAATAATAACATTTGCTCGCCTGTTTTATTAACCTGATATAGTAATGTTAGAACTTAAAATAAATGTTTTTGTACTGTCTAACTACATACCGCATCATTCTGAAATGTTTGCGTAGTAAATTCAGTTTTAATTCGTTGTATGTAAAGTAACGTATCAACAAATATTCGTATGGCATCTTCATATCGTCTCATCATTGTAAAACAATAGCCAGCATGATAATTTGTTGCAACAATACAATGTGGAACTTGACAATAAACATACTAAATAAAACTATTTATCAATATCCTTCGTTCATAAATTGGTATACAATTTGGAAAAATCAGTCAATGAAATCAGTAATATATACTTGTTTTACTACGTATAAATCAATACATTCGACTGTTTTCAATGCCATATAGTAGTCACTTGTTAATGTATGAAGTTTTAACAGTCCAATTAAACTAAAATAACCTAACATTTTATATAAATTTGTTTGACATATTTGATCAATATTATCGTGAAATGGAACTAGAAAAAATGATAAAATCTTTCTTGTTTCATTATATTTAAATTGCATATTCTATCTTGCCTCCTTTTTTCGTCGCTTCAAGCTGTTCAACTATTCTTGATTTATCAACCAAACTATGCAACACATTAAGTACAGCATGGATACTCCACATTTTAGAATTACGTTTTAATTGATCCACATCATCATCTGTACGCTTTTGTAATTTTGTTCGAAAATTACAAAATGATTGAAACTAAAAAGACGACAATTTTTACACGCTTTAAGAATAAAGTAAATAAAGAGTATCATACTTGATAGATAAATTCTTCAATAATATCCCATAACCATTGGTCAGGTAAATCAAGCTTTAATGGTTCTTTAGCTAAAACCATATTAAATAAATCAATGTAATTGACATATGAATCGATACGTTCTTCCAATGTCACACCACCCTGAAAGAAAGATTATAATCGAAAATATAAAGTTTTAATTTAAATAATTTCTATAAAACTTACAGGTTTACTGGCATAAATATGACGAAAATACATCTCTTTGTATAGTGTCAAAAACAATTTATCATCTGAAATGTCAAAAAAAGAAATATAATGGAACTATGTTTCTTTTAGAAAAATATTAATCACCTCCAATATGAGTTTGTAAAGTTCCAATCGATGGCCAGTCGGCATTGAAACTTACCATCCAGTCAGCGTGACTAAAAGACTAATAGAAGTTACATATATCATGCAATAATGGATTTATTACTTTGTATTATAATAACGTGATATAAGGATAACATTTCCGTCGTCGACTGCTCGTTTAAATTCAGCGAAATGAGCTAATATTTCTCTACTTGATGTAGAAGAATCATAGTAATTTTCACTATCTTGAAATAAGAATAAAAAACTTATTATTATTATATTTGAACAAAAAAATATTGTCCTGTTATTACCTTGTCGAATGATATCAGGTTGATTATTGTTAGCAGAAGCTGAACCTCCAACATATTGATATTGTCCATTATGCTAAAAATGGATACAGAACACGTCAATACGTGTAATAAGTATTTTTTCTTTTATTTTCTTCATACTTCGTAATCCATATCTTTATCAATTATAAAATTGAAAAATCTACAAATAGAATTGAAACAAGTATGTGTAAAGTATGAAAGAAAATCTGATTTGGATTTTTCCATTACAAATAATAAGAATAGGCAAACTACACACACAATCAAATCTTGAACGATCTAATTGATCGGAAGCAGATTTTTCAGTTGAAGCATGTTATATACGATTAACAAAAAACTTCTTTTTATAACAGATAGTGGCTACTGAAAGAATAAACAACGATCTATCGGATTGACACAGAAATTTTGAAAATAAGTCCTGTAGAAGCAAATGCTGATAAAATTGTGTACGATTACTTTCAAAACGAAACGTGAAAAATTAAATAATTATTATATTTTTTGTTCTACTAACAATAGGCGCTGGTATTATGGATACATTTTTGTACAAAACAGAGAAAACCTATTATCATATGAAAAAAATATGAGAATAACACAATGAGTTAGGAAGAAAGCTACCGAGAAAAAAAAATTCATTTTAATGACAGACAAATCGATGAAAAACAATTGCTTGTTTTAAATAAATGTATACCGTATGTAAATACAAAAAACTGTTGAAAAGAAAAACACAATTTATAGTAACGATCGCAGTTGTTGCCTTTTAGTGTGAAATTTGCTTCACAATCTTGTTTCACAATCTAGACTAATGTGAAACAATAATAAATAACACACTAAATCTGAATGAATTGCATTCATAGATAGAACAATGGGCTTGTTTTCTTGATACTTCTTTTAGAGATATCACAAAGATAGACAAACAATACTTAAACATATAAAAGTAACGCGGAGTGATTTGTTTAAGTTCTTATTGATTTCAATTATTAATTGCCAAACATACTACTAGTTGAGAGCCTATGTGCACCAGTAGACAATGCTGTGTTAACTGTTGCTGATGGTCCGAGCAAAATCTATAACGAAAAAGATATAAAAATGAAACAATGTTTAAAAGATTCTAATTTTATCTGTTCACAAGTCAAAACAATAAATGATAAACTGAGCGACGATACCTGAAGTATCGACTTGTTGACATCTTCATTAGTCAAAGAAAGATTAAAAACAAGAATTCAAAACTGGTTACCTGACGTGTCTGAGCCGCTTGATATTCTGCAACTTGTGATAATTCTAATTCAACTAATATGGGTAAGACTAAAATAACAAGCGATGAACCAACAAACCATGCAGCTAAAACAGAACAAAAAATAATTTGTGAATGTTCATAAATAAAAACACATTTAGCTACCTCCTTTGACAGTTTTTTTCAAACTGAATGAATAATTAAATAATTGTCCAGAAAAATTTCTTAGCCATTCGGGGAACATTTCTGTAAGACCATATAAACGTTCAATTATTGTTTCATCGTCAATCTCCTTGGAACAAAGGATAATGAATGAAATAAAAATCGAAAAGTTTATTGCTTCTAGATTTTACTTCTGAATCATCATGATCAACGGTAGGAGTGTTTAATACAGGAACAGGAATTGTTGGTGATCTTTCAACACTGACTGTGGATACTGATGGTGTAGGTGGTTGGATAATATCACCTGATACTACGGGAAAATGATCTAATATGAATTCCATTTGATCAGAACCGTTTGATTGAATTATTTCAATATCATTTTCATCGGTTCGTGATGTAGTCAAAGAGGTAAAATCTGTATCAGACATCTAAAACAATGGTACAAATATATATTCAACTGCCAGGAGACAAAATTAGTTTTAATTTAGTGAAAATTTTTGATGGGGATAAAATCGAAATGGTGCTGCAAAGCCTTGAAAAATAAGAGGCAAATGCGAGTTATGACAAGCTGACTATTCCTGGTATATCACTCCTTCAAAGATAACATCCACAAATACGTATATTGACTGAATTGTCTTCACCAATTATATAACATGCTAAAGACTAGTTTATTCACGAATGAACTGAACATTCGGCTGAATGAACTGAACTACAAAAGTAACAGTATTGGGTCAAGTAAAAGGATATCAGTATAGCACAGGTCAGAAGGAGAGAATATTTAATTTTTCATTGAGAAACTTTGATCAGTATTCCAGCAATTACCTGCTCCGGCCTTTCGTCTAAAGGACGATAATTATAAGGGTAATCAGAACCAATCACAGTCTAACAATCATTGTTTTGAGACCGAGTAGAGGCTACTACTATAGATGCAGAAAAATCAATGTTTGGAGAGTATTCTGCAGCGTTAACAAAATCTTTTATCACACTCTCCAAGAAGAACTCTAATTGCTGAATTTGTAGCTGTCGAAACAAAAGTAAAAAATACATAGAGCTTTCTAAAACCTTCAGTCATTGAGCCCTAGATGCACCGGAGAAAAAATACTTGAAAGAGCCTTTGTGATTTTTTTTATGTCTGAAATTAGTTTTCTTGATGAAACGCATATATTAACTCAGCAGTAACAGATTTCGCGAAAATTGTGAAGTCAATCATTCAAAAAAATAAATAAATAACAGCTCTTAGAAGTTTTTACTTTGAAGGAATGAATATTCACAAATGAAAAATTCTTGTAGTCTGATGTATTTAAAGTTTTGTTTGTTTTGTTTATAGATAGAGCTAACAGTTATGCCCAAAGCTGTGAAAAAAAGTGCAAAATCTACAGATGATGAAAAAGAAACTAAAGATGCAAAGAAAAAAGATGCAAAACAGAAAAAAGTCCTGGACGATACATCGGAATTAAGTGAAAATGCTTTAAAACAACCTCAACAACAACAAATAGGCGGCAATGATGAAAAAGACGCAACTAGTCAAAAGGTTCTATCATCAACTGAACTGACACAATTAGATGTAGATGGAATAGATAAAAATTTGGGTGGAAATGGAAGTGTGCCAGATTACGATATCAAATATGAAGAACCAGTTCTTCCGAATTTAATTGTTTTGAAGTTAGAATTGTGTTGTGTTTCTCGCTTTTGAAAAAGAAGTAAAATATAAATATTTTCATTTTTAGCTACGAAGGTACACGTGAAAAAGGCTTGTTTGAAGGATATGGACGAGCGAGCTATGTTGGAGGACACACTTATGAAGTAAATGATCAGCTACCAAACTTTTTTTATAACTAGACGTTCTTCTTCCTTGTCAGGGCAATTGGGTTGAGGGAATGATGAATGGACAAGGTCGGTATGAATGGAGCGACGGTGTTGTTTATATGGGTCAAATAGTAAACAATCAGATAGAAGGTGTTGGAACTTATCATTGGCCAGACGGAAGGTATATGACCATTTTTAATATTTTTGAGAGATAATTTTATTTCGATGTTTTAGTACATACAGTGGTGATGTCTATCGTGGGAAACGTCATGGACATGGCTTATTTACTCATGGTCGTCTTCCAGTTGTCTACGATGGCGAATGGCACATGGGAAACATGCATGGAAAAGTACATTAAGTAATTCTGATATTATTCCTAGCGTTTTTTCAAACAATGATGCATTCTTATCATTTTAACTAATCTTTTATTTGCTTAGGGGACTCTACAATTCGATCGAGAAGGAACGTCCTATTATATTGGAGATTTTATTCAAAATGTGCCATTTGGAAAAGGCAGAAGACAGTATTCAACTGGTAGTAAAATATTTTCTGACCATAAATAGTGAAATAATGTTAGTCATCCATCTTTTTATAGGTAATCTTTACGAAGGTATGTGGGTTGCAGGAAAACGACATGGACACGGAATATTTTCATGGGCTAATGGGAATGGAGAATACATTGGACAATGGGAAAACGGTGTTCAAGTAAGAATAAAACTAATCTTTAAGTGAGTTATCTATACTTCTTGCTATTATTTTTAGAGTGGTCATGGTATTCATGTATGGTACATTGTTCGAGCTGAAGAATCTCAGTATGCTCTAAGAAATTATTATGATGGAAATTTTGTTAACGGTAGACGCGATGGTTATGGTGTATTTTATTACTCAAGCGGTACTCGATACATGGGTGAATGGAAAAATGATCAGAAACATGGAAAAGTTAGTGACTCAACCAGTTTGATGCTTAAATAGTCTCTTTTCTCTCTGTTTTTTTTTAGGGAAAATTGGTTTTAAGAAATGGTACCGAAGTAGAAGCCGAATTTTCTTATGATCGTATGCTAACAAAATTAACGAGTGATTTTTCGACAATGTTAGACATAGCCCTACCAGAAATTATATCAAAAACACCTATTCCATCAGGTAACTTTTTCTTATATACTTTTTAGTTTTCAATTTTAAAATACGAGAAAATTAAATTTTAGCTTCAAATACGCTTGATCCTACGAATGTTCCAAGAAATGAAAGTAGAAATACAATGGGTCCAAGTTTTAAATTGATGTTAGACGATGCATTCGGTAGATTGTCAACGATGGATGGTGATAAGAAAAAAATTGCTGATCAAGTTTGGTTTCAAATATTCATTAACAATACGCACATTTAATGAACCGTTTTTTGTTTAGATTTTTAAAGTTCTTATACGACATATTGATCGATTAAAACAAATATATCGTTTTTACAGTCGATTGGGAAGTGATCCTCAAACGAATATTGATAATACATTTTTAATGACACGTTTACAATTGTGGCGATTTATTCTGGATTGCCAATTACATTCCTATGGTGTCACAACAGTTGAATACGATTGTCTTATTGGTAAACTTTTCTTATAATAGATAGATGAAATGATTTTGGAATTGTGTCTCTTTATTGTTATTGTCAGGTGAATGTTTGCCAGTTGAAGATATTCATAATCCAAATCAATCAATATTAGTTCGAGAATTTTTAAATTCTATTGCTATCATTAGTTTTCATCTACATCGAATGAATAAAATGTTAGTAATTCTTATATTATTGAAAAATTTACAAAGTATTTGTTTGTAATAATTTAGACAAAATGATCCGTCAGTTCTTGAACAACCCATTAGTTTACAAATAGCAGCTTCAATGGAAAATATTATCAAAAATAATATATTAACATTCGCTGGCGCTGTTCAAGGTAACCATGTATCAGTTGATACTGTTGACAATATTAACAAATGTTGGATTTAGGACAATTATTTACCAATTCAAAAAAATTTATTCAAGCCGCTCGATACAAAGATCAATGTTTAAAAATTTACAATGGATTTTGTACAAAAAATCCAGTATGTCGCTTCTACTTTATTAAAAAGATTATATATAACATCAATTTCGCATTTTTAGAAAGAACCTTATGATTATCGAATGACGAAACGTGACTTTTTATTCATGTTAAAACGTCTACAATTAATTGATTCAGTGCAATTAACAGCAGCTCAAGTTATTAACATTTTAGCTGAAGATGATGTCAACGTTCGTCAGCCAACAGCGGAAAAAGGAGAAGTCCGTCTTAATATTGGAGTAAGTATCAGTATATTTAACATCTATCAGTGGGTCGACAAATTATTGGTCTACCTCTCTAGTATCACATTGATTCGTTTTCCATTTGAAAACCACTTATGCTAGTGAATCGCCCTTTTCACCATCGTGTAGAGATGAAAACCATATAGTCTATATGTAAGTATTATGAGCATTTAATTTCGTTTTGTTTTTCTTTTATACAGAAAATACGTTTTACTTCAGTGAAAAAAAATTCATTTCCAGACAAAAATTGATATTAGTGGAAGAAGATTTTCATTTAGTTTATAGGCTGCCTTAAAATGAGTACGTCGGAGTGAAAAAATTCAGTTGGGTCATGAAAAATCCATTTCTTAAGTCAACAAATTCTGTTTCTCCTGCTTTCTCGGATTTTTCAGGCGATAAAATTTTTTTTCAAAATATGAGGTCAAATTTCAACATGAGCTTAGCCGCACAAATCGAGACACATCGACATATGTGCTTTGGATGATATCTGAACACATTCGAGCCTATTAAAGATCAAAAAAAGACGAAACATCGATTCCATTTTCTTCAATATTTGCTAAATAATACAAATTGGGAAAATGGTTTCGCATGAAACATTCAAACCGTTCTCAGAAATGGATAGGGCACATCAGAATGTACTAGAAAATATCCAACAGACAAACGCAGACCTCATTTTTGTCGGATTATTCTCATTAGGACAAAATCATCGCTCAAACATCATTAACTCGAAATAGGTGCTAAAATTAAAACATTTGCGTCAAACTTGTGCCGATACTTCCGATGCTAATCTTTCATTGCGTTATTTGTAGGCCAGCCACGGGAAGCGTCGAGGGTAGAATAATAGAAGGTTTAATTAAATTGTACTTGGGGATGGCCCAAATGTTTTAATTTTAGCACCTATT